TAAGGGGCAACCAGGCCAGCTGGGGGGAGCAGTTGGGGGTGACCAGGCCGGCATAGGGGGCAGTTAGGGGCGATCAGGCTGGCAGGCAGAGGCATTTAGGGGTGATCACGCTGGCGGGGTGGGGGGGGCAGTTAGGGACAATCAGGCAGGCAGGCAGGTGAGCAGTTAGGAGCCAGTGGTCCCCGATTGCGAGAGGGATGTCCTGGATTGGAAAGGATGCAGGCTGGGCTGAGGACACCCCCCCACACCTGCACAAATTTCGTGCACTGGGCCTCTAGTATGACAATAATATCTACAACTCTATGAGACAGAGCTGCTGTAGGATTGCAAATGCGTATTGAGCACAACGCCTAGCACATACCAGCAAGTGCTTAAAGTGGTGTTTGAATGTGAGTCTGAACCAGGAGTGCAAGATGCAGAGTAGAATCAGGTGAAGAGGGAAGTTGAAAGTCACTTTGGAAGGATAGAAGTTATAAGGTGTTCTGGTTCCGGGCTTCTACCTGCCAGGACAACAAGGAGGGACCTAGGAAGGTGTAGCTTTCAGCCAGAGCCTCACAGAGGGGCTTCAGGATCCCAGGGAGGCACTTCTTGCCTGAGTCCGATGCTTTTCAGTAAAAGCTCATTGGACGGAGACCACAGCACTGATGTCCTTCCTCTCACTTCCGGGCTTAGACTTCAGTCACACCTTAAAGCTAACTGCAGTCATGTTAACTAAGTCGGTGTATGAAACATTACTCTTACCCCAGAACCAGAATTTTCAAATGGAGTCTGTTAAGAGTCCCAAGAGTTGCCGAAACCGGTTTGGCTCAGTGTATAGAGCGTCGGCCTGCGGACTGAAGGGTCCCGGGTTCGATTCCGGTCAAGGGCATGTACCTGGGTTGCGGGCACATCCCCAGTGGGGGATGTGCAGGAGGCAGCTGGTCGATGTTTCTCTCTCGTCGATGTTTCTGACTCTCTATCTCTCTCCCTTCCTCTCTGTGGAAAATCAATAAAATATATTAAAAAAAAAAAAAAGAGTCCCAAGAGTTAAAAGTAATGTCTAAAGTAACTGCAGTCATATTTCCAATGGCCTTTAGGAATATGCCACATAGTATCACTTTAAAAATAATAACCATCCCCAAGTTAACTCTCCCTCTTTAATCTCCAATTTCTATTGATGGTACATACCGTTCCTCCAAACTGCACATCCTAGAGTTGCCTCTGACTCCTCTCTCACGCCCTTTTTGCTATCTGCACCAAGCCCTAGTGATTCTTCCTTTGCAAGATTTCAAAGTCATCCCTCTCTGTTTCCACTGTCACTGCCTTAACCTAAATGATCTTCTCACCTTATGCTTAAATTACAAATGTCACCCTTTAGTTCTTATTTTTATAAAAATTATGACTGTACATGGTTCCAGGAGTCAATAGCTCTCGAAGGTGTGTTAAGAAAGCCCCGTCTTCTTGCTCTATACTCCTTTCTTCCTTCAGGAGCAAGCACTTAGATTTCTTTTACCTGTTTTTTTTCTTATTTTTTTTTAACTTCTATGTCTCTAAACATTATGCTTAATTTACTGTTACATGATTTTTCAGTTTTAGTAGAAGGCAAATATTGACTCTTGATTCTCCTCTACCTCAATCCCACAAACACTATTTTCTCATACAGATTCAGCAACCCATATTGTTATATTGTAGCAATGGGTAGAGGAATATTTAATGCTTACCTTTTATGGGCCAAACTATTATTATTTTTTCTTTCCTAAAAACTTGTTTTTCCTGGAGCAACTTTTTTCTTTACCTTTCCTTTTTTTCTGGGCATAGTTTTCCATGCACTTCTCACTTGAATAACCCCAAATACTCTACTAAGAGCCTAAATCTTCTTTCAGTATATTCAGACACATCAAGTATTCCGAAACAGGAAAATGGTATAAAAGTCTCTCTTCAGAGTCTGCTGATCTGTTCCACACAGGACTGACTAATTACCCTCTCCTTCTTGGTAGATATTAGGATTGAACTTGGATGAACTTCAGGGTCCATCTTAGAATCACTGGAGATTCCCTCCACCTCTCTCCTGGGAAGGAGTGAATGAGGAGAGTTTTAGGAATGAAGGTCGAAGAGGAAGTAGCCTGATCATGCAGGGCCTTGTGGGCCATGGTTAGAATTCTGGCTTCTACTCTAAATGAGAAGCGAGGACTGGAGGGCTTTGAGCAGAGGGGTAACATGATCTGGCTTACTTTTCATCTGGATCACAGTGACTGCTGTACGGAGGGAAAAAACTAAATGGAAGTAAGAGTGGAAGCAGAGAGGTCTCACAGCGAGGCGTTTACTGCAAGAATACGATGAGATTCGACAGTGTCTTGTATTGAGATGATAGCAATGCAGGAGGCACAAGGAGATCAGATTCTGGACATATTTTGAAGTAGATCTGCAGGACTTGCCGACCGGGTTTGGATGTGGGGAAAAGTGCTTCCATGGAAAATATGTGGGGGGAGAGGGCAAAAATTTGGTAAAATGTCAACAGCTGGTGAGTCCAGGCGAAAGGCACAGGGAATGACTGAAATGAATAACGTCACCTCGTCTCGCCCTGACTTGTGTCTCCCTTGGGAGGGAGGAGGACGTTTTGTCTTCTTGGGCTGCAGGCCATCAGCTGCTTCTGCTGCCCTGATGGCTCAGTTGCTGCATCTTCAGCATGGCTTTGCTGATCCCAGCCTCATTTCTAACAGCAATTCTTGAATCCGTGACAGTGAGAATAGAGTGATGCTTAATATTTATTTGACTTTTACTGTGTTCCAAGCACTACATTAAGTGCTTTTACATGCATTATCTCACTTGCTCTACAACTTCCCAGAAGAAACTAAAGCCACTTAGCATGTCAGAGGCAGAGCCAAAGCCCGTACTTCTCAAGCGCACTGTATGTGCCCAGCTCTTTGCCAGGAGAGACGAGGCTGAGATACTGAAGAAGCGTAACCTACAGGGTTCAGCACACTGGTATGTTCCTGGGAACGAGGGCAGAATTTTCCTTTGAGCTATTAAAAATCAAATAATCTTCAGGCCTGATCATGATCATTACCATCTTCCTGCCGAAAATGTGATTTTCTACTAGATCTGCTTCGGCTGTAGGATCGCCTGCCAATTGATAAGCGCATTTTTCTCTTCTTTAATGTAACAGCACCCCAGTGACATAAACTCCTTGAAAACATCTGACCACATTTGTTATTTCCACCTACTCCAAACGTCCTTTCCCCCCTTTTTTATTGAAACTATACAGAAGAGTTCAAAGAATAGGAAAATCAACAGCCATGTGTCTTTCACCTAGATTCATTGATTGTTGGCATTTTGCCAAATTTGCTTTCTCTCTTACGTATTTTTTTTCTGATGGAAAAATCTTGAGTAAGTTGATGGCATTATTCAAAGCAATTCTTAAATACATCACTCCTAAATACTTGCATGTGTGTTTCCCAAGAACAAGGACACTCTCCTCCCTAACCTACAATTATATTGTCAACCTCAAGAAATGAGATGTGATTAAACAATGTAACTTAATAAATAGCCCAGATTCAAATTTCACCCAAGTTGTTACAAAAACAGATGCAATGAATGGAATAGACCAATTCCAGCCCAGAATGATAAGAAACTTGCTTTGTAAAGGAGCCTGCGTTCCCTCTTGTAAACAGCTGATGCTAATCCTTAACCCTCTAGGTTGTTTGGAGGATGAAGTTACAATAAGTGTGATTACTTTCTGCAAAGTCTCTACTGTACAAATACAAAGAAGGCTGAAAGATGAGAAAGCTGCTTCTCAACTAGGGCAAGTTAGAAGGTTTCAAATATGTTTTTTATGGATTTTTAGAGAGGAAGAGAGAGTGATAGAGAGATAGAATATCAATGAGAGAGGAACATCATTGATCGGATGCCTCCCATATTGCTCCACACTGGAGACCGTGCCCACAATTTAGCCTTGTGCCCTGATGGGGAATCGAACCCGTGACCTCTTGGTTCCTGGGTTGACACTCAACTGCTGAGCCACACTGACCAGGCAAGTTTGAAGGTTTTAGAGTAAAAAAGCAGCACCCATTTTCTCAAAGGCATTCTTCAGGTTCACAATATAAATTTATAAGAATACTAGTGGCCCGGTGCATGAAATTCATGCACATTAAAAGGGAAGAGACCCAGACCTGGCCGGATGCAGCATCAAGTCCCTGGCTAGTGCCAGGCAGGGACACAGCGTCAAGTCCACGCCCACCCGTGTGTGCCTTGCCGAGAACGCAGCCCCGCCCACCCGCACCTGCTTCGCACGCAGCCTCCTGCTGATCGGTCGTTACAGCGTGACGGGGTCATGACCATTAGCATATTAGCTCTTTATTATATAGGATACATTTTCCTGCCTTGGGACAAAAGCTATTTTATATTTTACTTTTTAAAAGTTAAAAATTACTTACTACTCATTGCAAAAGTTAAAATGCAAGAGAAGTAAATGAAGAAAAAGGCCAAACTTTTTCCATTCCCCTGTACCAGTTATTTTCATTTTAAGGGAAAATAAAACATAGCTCATAAATATGTTATTTTTTTTTCCTGAATTAGCTTTTGTGTAAGAAAGAAAGCTCCCTCATCACTGTCCTAAAGGCCTCCGGATCTCCAGGCTCTCCATCTCCTAATTTACCCTCCCATCATCAGAAGAGCTATATTTCTAATATTCAAATTTGATTCTGGCACTCCCCTAATTAAACACCCCCAGTCCCTAAAGCCTCAGCGCCACCAGCTACCCAATTTCATTTCCCATCTCTTTTCCATGTTAATCTCCAGCGATATACCCCACTGTGACCTCTCTTCCTGCACCTCCTCACTTTGTTCTCCCAGTAAGTGCCTACATCAAGCATGTCAAACTCACAGCCTGCGGGCTGCATGCCCTGTTTATCTGGCCTGTGTTAGCCTTTGAGTTTGACATGCTTGGCCTACATATCTTGCACGTCCGTAATATCTACGGGACAAAATTAACCACACATTTTAGGCTTAAACACCTGTCTATGCCAACACTGAATTCGGACGTCCACAATTGTTTACCCACACAGCTGCTTCTCCTATTCCACAGGGGCTCTCTTAAGGCTACACCTGTAGCTGATCTTGTTTCCCTCGTCTCTGGCATTGTTTTGGGCACCTACCTGGTGCTCACTAAGTGCTTGCTACACAGACTCTAACTTGCAAACACCTTATTCCCTAAGTAAAAGAAGCTAGCGGTTATTGGAACTACTGACTGAGTATCCATGTCCACTCAGTGGCCACTATTCAGTAATATTAACTTTCCCACCACCCACGTGCCCAGGTCCCTTCTCGTGGGCTCACCGAGGACAGGTGGGGTAGAGTCAACTACAGGACTGGATTCGGGTCATGGCTGACAGTGGCCCCAGGATTTTAGAAAGAGGAAGGGTTTAGCCAGTACCTGATGGAGGCAAAGGGGAAGTGCTCTCGAGTCCAACTGCTCCACCTCACCGCGGATCAGTGAGAACAGAGACTGCAAAGCCAGTGTCGGGGCTTCTGGTTGGTCGTTAGCATTGCCTTCGGCTGACTCTTCCTCACCAACAGCACATGCGTCTGCACTTAGCACGTCTTCTTGCATTAAAGATGTGGAATCCCCCGAGGAAAGTCCTGGAAGAAGTAAATAAAGTCCTATGTTAGGATAAGTTCCCACTATGGTGGGACACCCTGAAACAATGATGCCTGCTCATGATACAATTTTCAAATAAGACTAAATACGTGAAAACACAGTTACTGGCCTGATTAAGATTGTGCTGACATTTGACTGCTTCTATTAGCACACACATAAACCATTTTTGCAGAATTATCACTAAAAGTATTAATAAAAATAGATCTAAATAGAAGTGTGAAGGTTTATGCAGGTTGAAACCTGACCGAAAACTTGATTCTCCCAAAGAAAAAAATGGAATAACTGTATGTAATTTGAAGTCCTCGCTTGCCCAAAATAAAACAGAACTGAACGGAAGATAAATGTGTTTATCATGTGAAATTGCTGGCTAAAGGGTTAAGCTTTCCTCCTCAAACTCTGGCCTGATAACTTTGGAACTACTTCTGGATCCCAGAAGAGCAGTACCAATTCAGATGCCAGAGCTAATGGCCACAGAAACATTTTTCCTAGTAAAAAAGTTAAGTAATACAAACTTCTAAAAATAAAAAAGTCACCAATAAATTAAATGCTTGGCCCACAGCTCCTGAAACGATGCACAAAATTTTAAAAATTTAATCATTATACATTATAATGTCAACCTTCACTAAATTCTCAGTATCAGTTCCAATTTTCATATTCAAATTGATAGACTATCTGACTGTCCAGACCGTCAGCTGGTCTGCCTCAGACAGGATCTTTCCCAGCAGTTTGGTGCCTTCACCACGACTGAGGATGCAATCCCCAGCCCTCTAGATGGTGTCCAGAACCCTGTCTTCTACCGCCTTCTATTTTTGTTGTTGTTGTTAATCTTCACCGGAGGATATTTTTCCATGGATTTTTAGAGAGAGAGGAAGTGAGAGGGAGAGACAGAGAGAGAGAAACATGGATGTGAGAGAGACCTATCGGTTGGTTGCCTCCTGCATGTGCCCGATCAGGGCCAGGGATCCAGCCTGCAACCAAGGTCTGTGTCCTTGACCAGAATTGAACCTGGGACCCTTCAGTCCATAGGCTGACGCTCTATCTACTGAGCCAAATTGGCTAGGATTTCTACTGCCTTCTAAATAAACCCACTGTCTGACCAGACCGATCAATTCTTCATCCCCCTAATAAGGCACTTAGAGCACTTAGAGATGCCAACAGTTGGAACATTTTCCTCTCATCCACGCATACTTATGTTCTCCCCTAACAAAATCGATGTATTGCCCTATAGCAGGAGCCTGAAGTAAACGTATTTTCTTCTGAGTCCTCTATCCGGCTGCATTATAGTAACTGGTGTACGGCCTCATCTTTATTGGGTCACAACTCCTGCAGCACAGGATTAGTTTATGTACCACATTATGCCCCTTGTATCCAGCAGTGGCTCAGCACTAAAATTCCAGTAATGTGCTTTTGAAAAAACAAAATTATCCGTAGTGATTTCTTATATTGTTGTAACTTCTCTTTTATAAAGTTTATGTCACTTGGCTTCTGGAAGTACAGGTGCAGTGATGGCCTGCCATTCTGCAGGGACAGTTTTCATGAAAACATGAGTGATTTGTCTGCTTGCTAATTTTTAAACCACATGGTTGTTACTAGCTTTCCACAGAAAACTACAAAGATATTAAGAGAAGTACTGTTTTATTTCCCTCTTCCCTTGCCATACAGCTTTGTCTAAAATATTTAATCTCATAGAGACTGAAATAAGGTTAGCCTGCCATATTCTACACTTCTCTTGATTTAGTTCTTCCCATAGTTATCAAATACTACTTCATGTTTCTTCTTTGAAAAAAATGTTAAAATTTTATAATACTCATATTCAGTAAAATGGAGTTAAAGACAGAATTTTCCAAGTTTTTAAAAAAGGAACAGAATTTATGAGTACCTTATCTCAAGGAGGTAAAAAAAAAAAAGGGTTCTGAATAATGGAAATGGATTATCTCAGTTATTTAGACAGTATCTATATATATAAAAGCCTAAGTGTCCACCTGACTGTCCGACTGGTAGCTATGATGCACACTGACCACCAGGGGGCAGACGCTCAACACAGGAGCTGCCATGATGTGCACTGGCCATTTAAAAAGAAACAGCACCACAGACCTGGCGCCGACAAACCAACACTTGGCTTCCCCCAAGTGGGTCACAGGCCCTGCCACCACCCTGAGCGACACCCCACCAAATCGTAGCCAACACTGCCAAGACTCCATGGCACAAAATGTGGCCCATAGCCCAGCCCAGCCTGGAAACACTCGCTGTGGGCGCCGGGTAATGACGTCACGTAGCAACACTCGGCTTCCTCTCCCTAGCGTTTTATCAGAACCTCCTTGGAGTTTCTTCAGCCCAGGAACCCGAATTGCTTTATAGCCAGGTGCAAACATTTTACACTTTAACCAAATGTCTGTGAAGCGTTTTCCCGTGCCTCATCTCATTTGATCCTCACAGAAGTCCTGGAGGAGGTACATAGGAGACTCGGTGGAATCCTATTTTCTTTTCATTAGCCAGAAAACGGAGATTTAGAAAGTTTAGAAACTTGACCCGACTGAAAAGAAGAAATGGTGGAACTTGAAAATAACTTCAGGTTTTCTCACTGCGCAGAATATAGTCAAACACTGCTGCAGTTAAATATTTTACCCTTTGTTCTCCCTGTGTGATCTACAATAATAATCTGCTTCATGTTGATATTTACTGCTGTGTTGCTGACAATTACCTGAAAGAGAAGTTGGGGTGCTTCACTGGGCTGGAAAAAGTTTAGCTATATCAGAAAGCAGGTCTAATTAAGCAAGTTTATTCTATATCTATAAAAGGCTAAGTTGACTCGTGCATGCACAATACATATAAAGCTCTCACTGGCGCCAATCACACATGTGTGTTTCTATCTGTCATTGTCGATCGTGAATTCGGTTGACACTTCTATTATAGAGAAAGGGCAAATAGCAATATTAAAATATTTCTTCTAATTAATTTACTTTCAATGTGCATGAATCTGTGCTCTAAACACTAGTAGATTCATAATGGTCATGATTCCTGCTATTTTGTCTCTAAGTTATTTTAATAATTAATAATTGTACTTACACATAAGTACAATTTATAAATAAGCAATGTATTAGTAAATAAAATTATGTAGTGCCCGGCCGGAATGGCTCAGTGGTATGAACCAGGAGGCCATGGTTTGATTCCTGGTCAGTGCACATGCCTGGGTTGCGGGCTCCATCCCCAGTAAGGGGTGTGCAGGAGGCTGCCGATCAGTGATTCTCTCTCATCATTGATGTTTCTATCTCTCTCTCCCTCTCCCTTCCTCTTTGAAATCAATACAAATATAAAATTATGTAGCAACAAAAGAAATTTTAAGAGGAATAACTGACAGAAGTTCCAAAAGCATACAGAAATCTAAGGATTCCAAGAGCAACAAAGGCTGATGTGAACAATTAGAAAGAATATAGGACTTTAACCATTAAGTGTAGGGAGGGGATGAAAAATATGAGCTAAGCTCAGATGGGTCATTCCAGATGGGTTAACAGGAGAGGGAAACTTGTAAGACTCAGACCACAAAAGAATTACCTATCAGGGCTTGACGATCATGAGCGTCAGAGATGACTTAAATAAAATCACCCTATCTGTTGAGATAACATTCCTTGCTGGGACAGAGTAGGGTAGATCAAACAGCACTGGAATTCGAGTGAGAGGCTTCAGTTCTGTCACTATTTTCTATGTGACCTTGGAGTAGACTTTTTATTCTCTACTAGTGTCCCAATGCATGGATTCACGCACATTGAAAGGAAATTAATTAGAAGAAATATTTTAATATCACTATTCGCATCTTGCTAATGAAAAGAAAATAGGATTCTATCAAGTCTCCTATCTACTCTAGGACTTCTGTGAGGATCAAATGAGATGAGGCATGGGAAAAGGCTTCACAAACATTTGATTAAACTGTGACATGTTTGCACCTGGCTATAAAGCACATTGGGTTCCTGGACTGAAGAAACTCAAAGGATGCTAGTCGCTAGGGAGAGGAAGCTGGGCGTTGCTATGTGGCATCATTACCCGGTGCCCACAGCAACCGTTTCTGGGCTGGGCTGGGGGCCGCATTTTGCACCATGGGATCTTGGCAGCGTTGGCTGCAATTTGGTGGGGTGTCACGGGGCCTGTGTCCCACTTGGGGGAAGCTGAGTGTTAGTTTGTCGGCACCAGGTCAGTGGTGCCGTTTATTTTTAAATGGCCAATGTGTGTCTTGGCAGCTCCTGGATTGAGCGTCTGCCCTCTGGTGGTCCGTGCACATCATAGCTACTGGTTGGATGGTCAGACAGACACTTAGGCTTTTATATATAGAGATAGTATAGTTTCCTCATCTTTAAGATAAAGGGATTGCCTAGATGAGATCTCAGGTCCCTCCTAGATCTGACCATCTCAAACATTCAAAATCTCCATGGTGATTCCGGTATTTAAGAAATGTAGACAGGATGACCCCCATGGCCCCAGCCTCCAGGAGAGCTCTGACAGAGTCTGGCTCCTGGCCTTCCTCAGGGCCAGGCCGAGCCCTGCAGCATCCAGGCTGGCAATCATGGCCCCATGCTCCAAGCTCGCTCCAGCTCCAGGCGGACCCTCATGGACCAATTCATCAGCCCCACCCCAGTGGTCCCCTGGTTGGCCGTCAAGGACCCAGGCTCCGGGCTCTCCCCAAGTCCCAGTATAGGATCAGGCACTGGGCCTGCCCCAGTAGACCTAGGCACCAGGCTGGCCACTGTGGATCAAAGCACCAAGCCTCCCCACCTACTGACCCAGGCACCAGACTTGCCCATCTAAGGAGTCTAGCAGCAAGCCAGCCCATGAGCACCACCAATGGCCCAGCCAGAACCTCGGGGCAGGCTGACTGGAGAAAGACTTTCCCTGCCGAAGCCATTCTGTAAACACTGCTTCTTCAAATGTGCACACACCAGTGCAAGGCCACAAATAATAAGGCTGTGGAGAAGATTAAATATGATGTCCC